CCCCAAAACCCCAAAACCCCAAAACCCCAAAACCCCAAAACCCCTCTAAATCGCTTTAAAACTGAATTACATTGAGCCGAAACTACTTTTCTTTAGTCAGTAATAGAGGTGATGGCTTAATATTTTTTAAAGAAATCCTTGGCATGCAGAGAGGTCATCAGTGTCACATCGATGTTCCTCCTACTCTTTCCAATAGTCCCAGCTCCTACTATGGAGTTGAGGTTTTTATAAGCTGTCTTGGTATCGTAATCTGAAGGACCGGGGGATCTCTTACTTCTATACCTGCTGATATTTCTCTTAGCCTTTGTAAAACTGCCATCAAAGGACTTCCTAAAGTTGGATAGAGTATTTCTAGCTCCTGTTGAATATGCAGCTGGGCCTGGTCCTTCTTTATTACAGTATCCTCGCTCTAGCTCTTTGAAATAAGTCTTAATCGCAAATTTATCCAGTGATTGATTGGTGTTCTCATTTCTAGAATGAGGCACAATCTTCTCAGACCTCTCTTTTATCGATCCGTAATGTGAGTGATTATAGCTCTGGCTGCTTGGCATATTTTTCTTTTCATTCAGGCTTCTGTTCATTTCTAAAAATCTAGTTTCTTTAGTAAATCCATTTGTCTTATTTCCATTAATTTTGATGCTGTCTCTATCAGGAGAGTCGTATCAATGGACTGAGTTATTGAGCTTAGATCGATCTTTATCTGATAGGAATCGATGTTCTCTGCCAATAGTAGCATTTGGAGATCTCTCTTTAATCTTGTTGATGTCTCCTGAGTATTTTCCTACACCTGGGGATGACTGTCCTTTAACAGCATGAGCTTGATCCTTGCATAAAATTAGCAGCTTTTTCTTACTCTGAGTACCAATAGAATATGCTGGATGGTTCTTCTTATTCGCATCCATCGAGATACTTCCTAACAACCCTGGAAGATTATAAGATCCAGGACCTGCAGAGGGATGTGCAAAAACACCACTCCCTGACTTTTTAAAGTTTCTATTCGAATAAGTCTCATTAATACTCTGATGTAGAGAAGAAAATCTACTATTCGTCTTCCTATAAAGCCTAATATTACTACTCTGATTCATCTCCGTAACAGACCTATTATGCTTCAAATCACTCTTCCTAGCCCCCTGCCTATCCCTCCCACTGGCTTTCTTCCTCTTTCACCCTCCAACCACTGCATTAAAATTCTTAAGAAGTTCCTTCTTCAACTTAAATTCCTTCTTGAACAAATTCTTGCTTTTCCTTCTTCTATAAAATTAATTTTATTCCATCCTACCTGTGTAAAGTCTGCATAGCTATTTTTCCAGCTGGGATTTTCATCTTAATTGCCTATAAGTAGGATTTTAAGTTATACGGTTTAGGATGCTGGTGTTCGCCTTGGGCTTTATGGGGGCATGGTTACGGCTGTTTTGGTTCTCTTGGATTGGAAGATTGGGGGTGGCTGGGTTGTGGGTATAAGCCACCTCTTCAGCATGGGCTCGCCTGTCAGAGTCCTTCCTGGTGGTAACTTCGGCTGATGCTTCCATATGTGTAATGGTAAAGGGGTTAAAAATAAAATTAAGTTTCAAAGAAACTGATCGAAAGAGGGGTTTTGGGGTTTTGGGGTTTTGGGGTTTTGGGG